TTTATATCGCATACTCTTGGTGTCCTTGGTCCCTGGGGTCTGTTCAGAGTATGCAACTGCATGTCCGATCTCTCTTTTGTCCTTCGTGTTGGTATTTCTCTGTCGGGTATGATTGTCATCGGTATTTTCTTTTCAATCTAATCCTTTTTATCTGTTTCGGTTTCCTTCTTGCTTCCCTTGGAGAATTTTCTTTTATAACTCTTTTCATAAATTTGATTGCTTACACATCTCTATTGCCACTGCTTCTAAATTCTTGAGCTCCTAAATTCATGCTGGAAACCTTAAGCTTGATTTAAGTGGTGTTACATATTCATACTACTTGTGTACAATTACTGATTTTACTTTTATGGTGATTTACCTTGTAATAAAATTAAATGGTTGAGCTGCTAAAATGTTGGCAAAACTACAGGGTTTTATTCATTTTAATAAGCATTTCTGCTTATTGCAGGTTTCTTCATCTCGGTTAGTTGATGTGGAGAGGGATTATCTATCTATAGATAAGCGATATCCAAGACTTTTTGTATCTCCAGAGTTTTCCAAGGTCTCTTGTCCTTGCACGCTCTCTCTCTGTTTCTCTCTCTCACATTCATTCACTCAATAATAGAGATATTAAGTTGTGTCAATTGTTTTAGGTTGTTGTTAACTGGCCCAAGGAGAACCTTAAACTTTCAATCCATACTCCCATCAGGTATGTTATACTTGATAGATGTATTGTAAGTTTATCTCGAGAGATGGACATTGGCTTCTTTATTGTGTCTTCGCCACTTATCTTCAAGAAGGGGCTGAATAATTATTATGTTGAAACTATCTATTAGTTAAATCAATCTATAATTGCAGTTTGATTGTTTGGAAAAGAGAGACTGGAAACAGTTTTGGAATCTCATGGTCATGGTTCTGAATTCAGTTGTAGGATCCAACTTTTCCTGCTTCTACTCCCTAGCTTACTGTAGACACTTGTACACTGTTATATTAATAGAAGAATAGAAACATAATACCTGAATATCTTGCTGACTGTGAAACAGTTTTGAGCATGATTTTGTTGACGAAGATAGCATTGGTGATCCAATGGAGCAATCCACCAAGAGTTTGACAGAAGAACCTGTAAAATCAGAATGTGGAGGCACAGTGTGGAATGCTAAGGTAGGTCATTGGAGATTTTTCTGTTTGAAGTTCATATGTATTGAAGAGCATATAATATAAATGTTAGACAAGCATCAACTGAATAAATAATAAATTTGTTGCTTCTGTTATTCTTAACTTATTTTTTTGAAATAATTACCTTTGGCAATTGGACCTTGTTTAATGTTTTATTTCTTTTCTATATCCATTGTTGGCACTGTGGAAAGGGGAATGTAAATCATGATAATGATTACCATATTTGCTTTTCCTCTCCTCCCCAGTATTGACTTATTTATCCTTTTCTTAAGGTAAAATATGTCTGAGTGAATTTTCTCTCTCATTCCTATCTTTTAGGTCACTTTGAAAAAGAGGAAGTAATATACTCTTGATAATCCCTCCTCCTCTTTTACCCTCATTAGCGATTATTGGATTAGAACCCTTTGTGTTCTGTATAGGGGCATTCTATGGTGGCTGCTGTAGATATTGTTGATCTTCTCGATCTTCTCTCTTTAGATTTCTGCTCTTGACATGGATGGCGCCCTTTTGGCACTTTTCAATGTTATTTCCCACTTTCTCCTGACAAAGTTTTGGTGAGCGAAAAGTAAAGACACAAGTGTATTTATGATTACTGTTTCTTAAATTATTCAGAATGCTGTTTATTTCTTCAGAACTAATATTTCATGTTATGTTAAATGATTCGGACATGCAATTATCCTATTTACTTCTATTCTAGCAATGAAAATGTAGTACATAATCCATACTATTGTTCATGATCTGAAATAAGCTTTATACTATGCAATTTTGGTTCTTCGTATACTTGGTTTTTGACCTTCTATACACATCACTCTGTTGTTGTGTTCTTGCAAAGGCATGAAGTTTATGATTATATGCAATAAATACATTTACTTGAGTAATAAAGTGATGCCCATATGGTATAAATTTCTTTGATTTTTTCTTTTTAATATAAACTTTGGGGTATAGATCTAGTTTTGTGAACCTTTGACTTGTATCTCTGGTTCAGATGATATTAATGAGTGGACTTAGCAAGAATGCTCTGGAAGAACTTTCTTCAGAAAAAAGCTATGGAGACCGGATACCTCATATTTGCAATATCCTGAGGTTTGCTGTTCTTAGGAAGGACCACTCTTTCACAGCAATTGGTGGACCCTGGAATTCTGCAGATGGCCCTGACCCATTAGTTGATGATTCTTCTCTAATTCAAACACTTGTTAGGTCTGCATTGCTTTGCTTGAATGTTACCTCAGGATAAAATTCTTTTTCAACTAGACTGACATGCTACTACTTTGTAGATACACGAAGGATGTAACTCAACTTGATCTGCAAAATTGTCGGCAATGGAATAGGTTTCTTGAGGTAATGTTTTTGCTTGTCTATGTTGCATAATCTGCTTCTTATTGATGATTGTCAAAAAAATTTACCGCATAATTTGAGCAACTCGTCCTATCTTTTATTGGGCCTTCTGTATTTATGGTTTTTTCCTTTTTGCATTTTTTAGTTCTGATTTTTTTGCTTCCCTTTTAGCTTTGATAATTTTTTTGACAATTTATGAGGAGACTCATGACTTCGGTCATACATATTTTATGATTGGGTTTTATTGTGTCATTGTGCTATGCCTCTTAGTTGGTTTCATCCTGTTCTTAATTGGTTTTTTTTTTATAGGGATGTATCTAAAATGAATTTGTGGAAATCATGATTTGCTTTTTCCCTTTAGGAATTAGTATCCATGAGTTTGCTTTAAGGCAATTTGTGCTAGGGCTTCCACCTCATTAAAGAAATAGACATGGTCTGGGCATTGAATCAAACACAATATTGGTTGAAGTTAATTGCTATAGTTGCTGTAAGGGATTTCTTGTTTGCTTTCATCTGGGTGTAAGTTTTCTAGCATCATCTTGAATATTATAGAAGTATAAAATTAACAGTTACGTTGGATCACATTGATAATTCTTTAGTTATTTCATATGTCTGGGAGGTTGGGGGGGAGGGTGGTCATAGACAAGGTTTGGACTGACAAAAAGTAGATTTTCTTGTAAAGTAATTCTAATTTGTGTATTCAGGTTGGAAATTCCATTTTTTCTTTAATTTCTAAAATTAGTCCATGGGTGTGATCTTTGATTTCTTGGAGTTCTATGTTATATTTCGTGCTTCTTTAAGAAGTTAACAATCAAATTATTGGTTTCAACAGATCCACTATGATAGAGTTGGCAAGGATGGACTCTTTAGCCATAAGGAAGTAACAGTACTGTTTGTTCCTGATTTATCTGAATGTCTTCCTTCGTTAGATGCATGGCGAGCACAATGGCTGGCTCACAAA